GCGTCCTGATCCACCTTATTAGGTTTGTCATGAAACTTCTGAAAATTCATGACAAGGTCATCGGGTGTCAATCTATCTGCTTGGCAAAAGCATTTAGCTGAGGTGTGTTTACATCCAACGGTGGGGATCCGTCCTCCACCAGAGTAGCGCATCTTCTTAGTTTGTTGACGTTCGTGGTTGTCTTCGTTTAAACGCCGTCGTCTTCCACCTGGCGCGGGCTTAACAGCTTCTTCGGACCCATCAAAAGTGTTTATCACAGTCAACACATTCATTTTTCCGACGTATTTAATTCACACTGACGATGTTTACCTCACGCCTCACGTACACCTCACGCATGACAGCTATTCGAAGACTCCGATTGGCCGAGAGAATATATCGCACTTTGACTCGAAACGAGTGTAGCGGCTGTCGCGGTTTGGAGTAAAACGACACCATTCAGTACAATTTAAACAGGGATATGTAGCGATTTGGTTAGAAACATTTATGGAGCAGTGAGTAGGCTCGGTATACAACAGAATGACGTGACAAACTCATTTTTTTTAAAATGGCGTTTATCGCGTTTTGGAAAAGAGCTCTTCGCATTTTCCCCGTAGTTGATCTGAACAAAAGTGGATGTTACTTACTTGTTCAGAGTAAATTTTCCAGTGAAAATTCTTATGTTGGTCATCCTGTACTTCCAAAAAGTAGAATGTGTGATTCTGAATGCCAGTATCCACACCGGTGCTGTGACCGACAGCCGCGACGCGCACTCTCCTCACAACATTGTGTTCATCCGCGCTGTTTCATGCCGATGTACAACTCACGTAAAATTAATAATTCCGCGAATGACTGCAATTGCAGACTTCAAACAGAGATGGCGACAAAGAGGAAAAGCTACGGACTGCAGCTTTAAGAACAGAAACTAAATAATCAAATGTAAAAATAAAACACTACTTAGTTTTCACTGTATGAATTAAATATATATACTGATTCTTATTTATGCTACAAAAGTTATTCAGCCAAGAGCAGTGAGTGATTTTCTCTTTGTCTTTTGTTCATGACCCCAGGTATTGCAAGCTGTTGCGATATGCATATTGCGATACATTTGCAATATTTCGATAATTTCTATATATTGTGCAGCCCTAATAGATAGATAGATAGATAGATAGATAGATAGATAGATAGATAGATAGATAGATAGATAGATAGATAGATAGATAGATAGATAGATAGATAGATAGATAGATAGATAAAATGTCAGATATATATGGACGGACAGATAGAAAGTCGATTCAAATAGGTGAATCAGGCAGTTAAAAATGTGATGTTCATTTTCATAAACTAGAAATTTGTCTGTTTTTGGTGATGAGTAAACATGTAGAAGGGCAGTTACAGCTTCATTAGCACATGTGATATGAGAGCGCTCTGAGAAATCATGATGAAATATGTTTTTCAAAATGATACAAGAGAACTGCAGCAGCTTAAAATACATGAGCACGTTCCCCAAAGATAACATCAAGAAGACAGCAGCAGATTCTGCAAAGAAAGAAACACAAAAACATGACACAAAGGAAACTCTAGAGGAAGAGAGGGTCTGAAAAAAGTTTGCAGAACTAAAGTTCATGCTTATCTCACAGTATAGGCACGCTTTTAACCAAACCTTTTTATATGTCTAAAATCCTTCGCTATGAAGCTCTGTTGTTTATTGACGTAAAAGAATACAAGATAGATCTTCCCCTAAGGAACCAAGAACCACTGTAGAAATACAGAAGATTATATTCAGTTGTCAACACAAGAACAACAGCAACAGAGAGAAACAAATGCTGTTATAAATACTAAAATAGTGAGACAAGAGGATGTTGTAAACAGAACAGTGCAGGAAGTTTGAGATGTTTCTACTGTACATTATTTGCTGCTTGCAAATAGATTCAGCCTTTTATTTGTCTTCCATTCAAGCCTTTTCTGACATATGCGGTCAAAGTTGGGGAGTTGTGTATATCGCCTATTTTATAACAGCTTCAGCTAATCAGATTTCTAATTCATACATTAATTCAAGTTAATATAATAAATTTGTCTGCAAAAATCGGTAAAGCTTCATTGAAAGTTTTGATGGATTTGATACAGGCAGGTTTCTGTACCTGATTCTCCAACAGAAGTGTTCAGCTGACCTACTTTGGATGTTCCATCAAGGAAAAAAGATGCCGTCCAGACCATTCCAGCAAGAGAGAAACCGGCCATTCATTTATACCCTTTTTCAATCACAGAGACCCCAGACTCTGACCCTGGAATGCGTATTTAAATATATTTTTCGTCCCCTGGAGATTTCTAAATATGCGAAGAAAAGCAATTTTGAGAAAGAATAAAAAGAGTGGTCTGGAAAAAACTGTTCTGATCGACTACATTCAAACTACATGGTACACGAACAAATAAAGAAAGGAAACAGTGAGAGAGAGAAAGAAGAGAACAAACCAATTTAAAGTAGAAAAGAAAGAAATTAAGTTGTATCGTGTACGAGGTTGGCATGAATAAACCAGACTGTCATGCTGGCAGGCGCCGGTGTCCTGATTCTCTAACAATATCTCTAAAGTCACCATAAAATCAAATTGGACACATTTTTTTCAGTTTTTTTTTAAATTTATGGAATATTCAATATTGCATTATTATTATTATAAATAATTATTATATATTGTTATAAATGATTTATCTGTGCAGCAACATCTCTTCTCTGATGATGTGTTTACTGGCATGAGGGCGGGGCAACCTGTCACTCACATGATATCGACCAATAGCAAACCACAACCAACCAATCAATTCCCCATGATCAAAGTCAAGTACCACTCTACATTTTTTTTTCTTGTTCGAGAAGCCGTTTCACTCGGATATACGTCACAAAAAGGAAGTAAAGACTATCGCAACTTCAGTTTCATGCCGACTTTAAAGGTGCATTGCGCAACATTTCATGTTAAAAATACCCGTTTTTCTAACCCATACATGCTTAAACAATTGCCTGCTGGGCTGAATGAGCCCTTCTCTGATCACTGCGATTGCCTCTATAATCCTGTACAGTAAAATAAATAAGAGGGATTCGGGCCGGAACGTGAGACTGGGCATGACGTCATGCGCGTTCACGCTCCCCTGGCTATGTCTGGCAGGTTTGTGTATTTTCCGCCATTCTCCGTATCAGCGAAGACAACTCGAGCGACAAAACTTCAGTCAACTTACGACAAAAGTAGAAGATGGATTCAAAGAGACCGGCTTGTAGTTCATAAACCCCAACGCAAACTCCACGCAAGACAAAGACAGTATGGCAGTTTCGCTTGTCGCCAGAGGGGGGCATAGTTCTGCAAAAACTCAGAGAGGTGCGCAATGCACCTTTAAGAAATAATTGTATTCCTTGCTCTATTACTTACTCACTACACACTAAATAAACTCATTATATTAACAATCTACAAGATTTTAGTGCGGTTTGCAAATAAAACGGCAAAAAAAAAAAAAAATAGACATATTTTAAAGGCCCACTGAAGTGCCTTGGAACACACAGCTTTGTATGATGCATTAACGTAATTTCCACTGAAACAGGAAGCTAATGCGATACATATTGAATGGCTTTTCAAATAGCCAATAGCGTTTAGTTTACCTCACAGACTGCAAGTCGTACTTGACAGCTCCATGTAAGCGAATCCGAGCACTGATGATACGTTGGATTCAATAGCAGAGGTGTGAATTGATTTTAGCCATTTCATTCTTAACCAACGTACAGTTGGAAAACAGAATAAAACTCGAGCGTTTGAGCAACCGAACACACATCTCCAACCCATATTGCTCTGTGACGAGTCAATGGCCGCTTTGGCCAGGTGGTATTTATAGCACAGGGTGCAGGACGCTTTAGATTCTAGAGAGCATTTGATCGAACAAAAGATGAAGTCCGTGTTGATGTCATAAAAATCTGTGATCCATTTTAGCAGAAGTGAGAGACTGTAAGTTTTGAATGCTTATATCTCCTAAATTTTGTCATTGTTTTGGAACACTATTCATTACCTTAAGGCTAACATATTCAAATTAAAAGCAAAAAAACTTACATTTTGATTTCAGGGGCCCTTTAAGGAGGGACTATCTAGAGACCAGAATATAATCGAAACTTGAGGGTGGACTCTTTTTTCCTAAGGTCAAAGTAACCATCTAGCAACCACTCAAAACACCCTATAGCAACTATACCAACATGCTAAACACTCAGAACACCGTTGCAACCACAACAACCACAATTGTTCAACTTAGGCTAGGCAATTTTCAGAGAAGCAGCAATAGCATTCTAGCTTTGAAAGCATCAGATCCCACCCTCCCTTCAGAGCGTGTCCAAAGCCACACCTCCTTCAAAACACACGAACGCAGTACATGTACAGCAGGGAGCAATCAAAAGAGTTTCCATCTCTTCCAAATCACAGTAGTTATGGCGTGAACGCAGCATAAGCTGGTTGTTTTGCTTCAGGAGGAACAGTAAAAGGCGGCTGCTGTTTCTGTTGCGGTGCTCAGTGACTGACGTCTGTCTAACTCTGCAGAGCATGAAACACACTGATGACGTGTGACGTCTGCGTGAGCCGGTGTGCGGAGGTATGGAAATACATATGTTGACAGGCAGGTAGGAGGTGGAGGCAGGACATCGTACCATTGCATTTGAACCGAATGCAATGATTGGACGAACATTTCATGGTCCTACGCCTTCCACAGACGAGATATACATAGGCCTACATTTAGACCACTTAACTTAGTGTTTGAAGAGACTTTCAACCAGTATAACAAAAAGGTTTCTGAAACAAATCGCCTACCCTGCCTTTAAGCGTCATGGTGGAGTGTTGAATGAGCAAATGACCACAATTTTTTTCCATGCATGTGCATTTCACAACGGAAGTTCTTTTTTCCAATAAACATCATCACACCATGTGGCAAACCATGTAAGAATTGGATGTAACCAAACCTTCGGATGGAAAACTGTAACCAGCAGTGAGCGTGTAGGTGATCTATCTGACATTTTACAGTTCATTTATGTTCAATCAGAACTCACCACATCATTCAGCATCAGCAGAGGATAGACGCATGCTGTCAGGTCACGCAACACAGCCGACTTACACGTTTCAGTTCTTTAAAACACAGCACTTATCACACCATTGAGAGCAGCGGTGTTGAGAGAAGAACAAGCAGTAAACCATGGTGAGTTGATCTTGTTGTTAATCATGCAAATGAAGGAATAACTGGAGGTCATGTTCATTAACATGACAACTGAAGATTTTTCATTTAAGTGATCAAGAGTAGTTTACAGAATTATTTTGATTATGATAACTTCAATGTCAATGTCAAATTTATTTATATACTTATTTATTCCTTTAATATTTATATAGCAACAACAATAAAAATAAAGAGCTATAAAAAATAACAATAAACACTAAAATCATATAACACATTTTAAAACAATTCTCTATGAATGGAATCATACACACTGGAACACAAATATACTAGCAAAACTTATTATTATAAATGTGAGATCCTTAAAAATGTTGTACATGGTATGATTTTGTATTCAGGGCTTTTAAGAAAAATATTACATACTACTTACATGCTAAATATTACAAATGACCTGGTCATATAAAACTATTTTACACCACAACATCATATCATAAACAATTAAAGCACTTTTTTTTTGTGAATCAACTTATTATTCATTACAAACCTAGAGCTAGTTGTTAAAGTTTTGTCTAAACACACTGTTCAACACTTCCTGTCCTTGTTTGCGTATAAAGTTAGGCCTACGTGACCGATCTCAAACCACAGTGTTTGTTACAGCAAGCTCAATGTTTCACCATGATTATCTGCACTTTGCTCTCTATACTCTGAAGTACAGTGGCCCTAAAAATATTGAGATTCTTAAGCCACATTTGTGAAAATCATTGCCCTAGATAACAAAATATCAAACCATGTGGTATTTATTTAGCAGAAAGCACATTCTCAAGCTAGATATTACACAAAAAAGAAGTTCGTTAGATTAAGTGTTGTTCATCAAAATTTATATGGACACTTTCTGGTTGTGAAATGTTAGTGGAACATGTTCATAGTTAAAGGGATAGTTCACCCAAAAAGGAAAGTTCTGTCATCATTCACTCACCCTCGAGTTGTTGTAAACCTGTATGAATTTCTTTCTTCTGCTGAACCGAAAATAAGATAATATGGGTAATCAAACAGTTGATGGGCCCCATTGACTTCCATGATGACAGAATTGTAATTTTTTAGGTGAACTATCCCTTTAATGTGATCAACTATTCCACTACATGTGAACTTGAGAAGAACTGATTTCACACGTCCAATAAAAACCACAGAAACACCAGTTGATTGGACTCTTATCAATGTATTTCTCAGAAAAGATTTGACATATTCTCTAAAGGAGGAATGAGCAGGAATTATGAAGAAAAGTGAAGTATTTGAGCTCTATGTATTTAAATATTTGGTGTGTAATGCAATGACATTCACATCATTGTGGGGTTTGATTGCTCAAACATTGTGACACTAAGCTGACATCTACAAACTTGTGAAACCTCTGAAAGCTACTTCCCCACTGAAATAACTACTAACCCTTACAATATGGTTGTCTTCTAGATTGACTTTAACTGCAGTTCACCGATGAACCACCCAGATGCATCGCTCCATCTCTTTGAACGTGTGGCCTACATACTTGTCTTCATAGTGGCCTTTTCCTTCAACATCACGGCTCTATACATGTTCTGTCACATCAAGTGCTGGACAGACACGCACATCTACATGATCAACCTGCTGGCTGCCGATTTCCTGGCCATTCTTTTTCTTCCCTTCAGGATACTGGAGGCCTTCTGTCCAATAAAACCGAACTTATTGTGTTCGTTCCTGCTGTGCACCCAATACTCCAACATGTACTGCAGTATCTTCATCATTACAGCCATCAGCATCCACCGGTTCATATCCGTCCGGTTTCCGTTTCTGACCAAGGCACTGGCCCCCAAAAGTAAGATTATCGCCACCACAGAGTGCATTATCATCTGGGTGATCGTGGCGGTGATCTGCGCTTGTAATTATAAAGACCTTCTCCCAGAACATTTAGAGCACTGTTATGACCGAAAGCTGACAGAAAAGCTCAAAATAACTTTTTTCTTGCTTTTGGAGATTTTAGGGTATCTTATACCAGTAGTCATCGTCATATTTTGCTCCACACAAACCATCTACATCCTGGTCAGATCGCTTCGGCATGTTGAGGGTAGGGATAGAGTGGAAAGGAAAAAAATCGCTGCTGTTATCACCGCGAACATGTTCACATTCATAGTTTGCTTCACACCTGTCCACATTGGTCTTTTGCTGCAATATTTATCTGACGAGTCCCACAAAAACTTTGTGCATGTGTTTCTTGATGTGGCCGAGTGGATTGCTACGACCAATTGCGGTCTGGATTCTATTGGGTATTACTTTCTTCTAAAAAGAGTTCAGAAAAGAGAGCAAAGTTACTGATTGTTAAAAGTCAGCAAAGCAAAGTCTTCTTAATCTATGGATAGATTGAAGCAGGTCCGTCATAGGCCTATGGGAGAAACCCAATAAAATAAAGGTTTATCAGATAAAAGACTTACCGGTAACACTTTACAGTTAGGTTAATCAGTTAACATTGTTAATTTTAGTTAATAAAAATACAGCTGTTCATTGTTTGCCAGCAGCCATATCACCCTGTAGCCCAAGACTGGTTGCCCACTGAAGCTAAGCAAGCTTGAGCCTGGTCAGTACCTGGATGGGTTACACTGGCACAACAAATCCAATCTTTTACTCACATCTGACACAGATCGGAATTGGTTGCCCACGTGTAAACACAAAAAATCCGCATGAGATCCAATTTATTCGGATCCAATCAGAGCCACTTGCAAATGTGGTTTTAAAACAGATACATATCCGATATCTGGACATCCGACCTGGCATATCAGATTCCCCTTTGAATTCCAAGCCACAGGGCGAGGACGACACGTTTATTCACAAAGACAGCTTTTTAATGTTGAGGCAGACGTGCCTGTGTGCGCTCGCTCACAGCTTTTTATTGAGGTGGGAACTTTACATTTATCTTTGTAAAAAAAAGAAATTGCGCGAACAGCGAAACATTCAATTCAAGAGCTGGTTTTCAACCTCTGCCCATGACTTTTATAAATAAAACAGCTTCACTACTGAAAGCTACATTATATTTCTCTGCAATGAGGTCATAACTTCGCTTTAAAAAATCCCCAAAATCGGATCTGGTCAAAAGATCGGATCGGTGCATTAGACTTGCAGAGTAAATGCAGTTGCTGCTGGAAGAGGTGTTATGAGGCCAGTAGGGGGCGCTCACCCTGTGGTCTGTGTGGGTCCTGACACCCCAGTAGAGTGATGGGGACACTATACTGTCAAAAACACTGTCCTTCGGATGAGATGTTAAATCCCAGGATGTTCTTCGAAAGAGTAGGGATGTAACCAAATTTACCCATTGGCTTCTGTCCATCATGGCCTCCTAATCCCCATACACTGATTGTCTTCATCACTCTGTCTCCTCTCCACCAGTAAGCTGGTGTGTGGTGGGCGTTCTGGCACAATATGGCTGCCGTCGCATCATCCAGGTAAATGCTGCACATTGGTGGTGGTTAAGGAGATTCCCTCCTTCTATGTGAAGCGATTTGAGTGCAGAGAAAAGCGCTATATAAATGTAATGAATTATTATTATATTATTATTGTTTGTTCATGTTAGTTCACAGTGCATTAACTAATGTTAACAAATACAACCTTTGATTTTAAAATTGTATTAGTACATTATGAAATTAATATTAACTAGGATTAATAAATGCTGAAGAAGTATTGTTCATTCTTAGTTCATGTTAACTAGTTAACTAATGTTAACTAATTGACCTTATTGTATAGTGTTACCGGTTCACCATTAGTGGAACTACCTCACATTTCCTATTAAATAATACGGTGCATACAGAAGATAGTCGCACAAGTACCATGGTATACATAAAATGGTACCACCACAGTAGCCTATATTCTTGTGAAAATATTCAATGAATGCAAAATAAAATGTCTAAATGATTATCCTCTGCACTTGTTCTAGCTTTATTTGTTCTAACATGATTAAGTGGAAAAGTGATAAAGGAAATGTTAACATTAGTTAACATGAGCTATCGACAAAAATAGCTAAAATTGTTGTTTTTGTATTAGGCCTATCATATTTTCACGCTCACGTGACATTGCAGTTCGGCATGCTTTTTAAAGCCATATTAGTCTAAACTTCTGATATATGGTTTTCTGAGAGCACAGAAAGCTGGCTGTTAGACTGCGCGTCCCGTGAGTATTAAACTAAGTTATATTTCACGTCTTACTGCACTTAAACTGTCAAATACACACAAGGTTATCTCAAAAACACTCAAAGTTCACATAAACGCATGGGTTATGTCTGTGAACGTAAACAGCAAGAAAAGAAATATGTGTATATTAAATCTGTGTGTAACAAAGCAGCTTAATATACAGTACCTGCTATGCTAAATGGTAAATGGACTGCATTTATATAGCGCTTTCACAGACCCAATGGCCACCAAAGCGCTTTACAATTTGCCTCACATTCACCCATTCACTCACTCATTCATACACCGACGGGCGACGGCAGCCATGCAAGGCGCCATCCAGCTCGTCGGGAGCAGCCGGGGTTAGGTGTCTTGCTCATGGACACCTCGACACTTGGTCAGGTGGAACCGAGGATTAAACCACCAACCTTCCGGTTTGTAGACAACCCACATGAACCACTGAGCCACTGCCGCCTATGCTGTTAATATGAATCAAACAAGAAAAGAAAAATAGAAAATCACTCACTGCTCTTGATTGAATAACTTAGTAGCTTTAATAAGAATACATTTCTTACTTGAATGCCGCTGTTAAATGCTCTGGCGAGGAGATGAACATGGCAGACTGTGTACAGCTCACTCAGGGCGGGTCTATGCTAATTGGGCAGAGTCCGTCAGCAGTCGTGGGCGGGGCCTTGTTCTGAGACACTGCTTATGATTTATGGGAATTAAAAACACATTTATGTTCAAACACCATGTAAAAGTGAATTTTGCATAATAGGTCCCCTTTAAACGAGACACAGTGTAATAGAGAGTTTGCAAATACATTTTTGTTGAAAGATGAATCAGCAACTGTATTGGATTTGACAGCAGCTGCATCACAAACCGTAAGTAAACGATTTAATAATACTTTGTAAAAAGGATGCTAGGCCTAATATATGGATAATGTTTTCAAAGCACTTACTCTCGTGCAATAAATGCTGCCTTCGGAGGATGCATTCCAAGGTAGGAAGGCATCAATACATCCAAAATCCGAATCCAATGTTAGCTTCACTTTCTGTCTCCTGGGATAGGGACAGAACCTACCTTTATCTGAGTGATTTTTGAAGGCATCATAAACAACGCTATTAATATTACAAATACATGTAGGCTACATTTATAATGAGCTTTTTAAAATATGCTTTGTGTGTGTGTGTGTGTGTGTGTTCCCGCTGGTCTGCTCTAACTTAATAAGTTAAACACTTACCTATAGGAAACTTTCTTACTTTCTTTTTTAAACGTTTAAACTAAATATGAAATGCACGACGAAAATGTGTCTATATATTTTGTTTATACGTCAACTCTCCAGCCACATTTGATCACATGATCATAAACGAAATTACTTCCTTGAAGTGACAATCATGTTCCCTTCGCCAACGGACTTGTGTAAGTTGTTCACTTGTTCACTTTCGTTTGCATTTGATATCCCACAATCCTGTGCTTTCCATTCTCTGACAGTTGGGCAAGAAAAATAAAGATGCCGTCTGAGAGTTGCGGTTGGTGGTCAGTTTGTGTGTAAAAATGTAAGTTTTTGACCAACCTTTCTAATGAGAAATTACTAGCCTAGCTAATTAAATATTCACTTCCAAAGCTCTCTCTGTTTTGCTGTAGATCATTAAACCATTAGGCTGCCTCAGAAATGAGTTTTGTGAGGTACCTTCGTGCACAAACGCTGCCTGGATCATTGCATCGAGGCAGCCTGCCAGGCAGTACCATTTTTCAGATGCAGCCACTGTTTCCTATGCAACTATGACATTATAGCCAATCATCATAACAGTCTGACTCAGTATAGCAGCTGCAGTGTAACAACATATCATGTCACAGTATATCGCAATGCAAAAATGTGTCGTGGATAGTAACAATATCCCAGATAGCACAAGTCTATTTGATGTGATATTTCCCAGATAGCACAAGTCTATTTGATGTTATATTTACATCTGGAAGACGTATTTTTAAGAGTGTTTGCTCATCTGCAAGACGTCTATAGGACGTTTCCTGTCAGATGTCAAATAGACGTTTAGAAGATGTCTTTAAGATGTAATGATTTAGAATGCATGTTAAACTGACATCTTCTAAACGTCTATTTGACATCTGACAGGAGACGTCCTATAGACGTCTTGCAGATGAGCAAACACTCTTAAAAATACGTCTTCCAGATGTAAATATAACATTGTTAGGGGGGGTAACAGTTTCAGACCCAGGACCAGAGATGATGAAAGAAGACCAGGAGTCGTGATGTTCAATCAAAGAGTAAAATTTACTGAAGAATAGTTTGCAGTTTAATTGGCAGAGTCAGCGTCAAAGTCTCACGAGGAGGTCGCAAGCTAACTCTACCTTACATGAAAATCGTACACCAGTTATACTGTTTTCAAGGGCATACATTACATAAACATTCACTTCTGATTGGCTCAGAAGACATAAAGCCTAAACAATTACACATAGATAGAAGGGTACGTTGACATCAATCAAGATAGCTGTCATCCAAGTCACGAAGATCCAGTAATGACCTCGGAGGGCCCATCGAAAAGCGTCATGAGACCAGCCACCCCATGTCATGAGACCTGCAACATACTGATAAAACCTTCCATCCTCAGAGAGAAGAAATAACAATTACTTTACTTCTTGAGAAATATATGTATGAAAGAAGTAAAACAAATCATAGAATCATACAGAAATTGACCCCTGCCCATTAATAGGGTCAGCAGAGAAACATGATCATATGATGAGGGTTTTCTTTAAGTTTAACACACTCATTAGTATACATACGGACAAAAAGCCTGTATTTAATGTTCTTGCTCAGGGCCACAGAAGATTAGTCCCAGACATCATAAGACATTCATGAAAGATAGGCCTTCACCCAACATTCAGGAAAGAGGTGCATTCAACAGAAGTATGAATAAAAACTATATGTGAATCATTTATTGCGTATAGGAATGATTATATAACTTGATTAGTGCTTATTATAGTAATAATGTAATCATAAAAAAGGATATACATATAGTTAAATTGAAGAGGCAAGGGATTCTGACCCCAACCCTTCAGTCCCCCGTTTTAGACCGATGTGTGGTCCAATACCGCCACGTCTGGTCTATCAAGTGAGGCCACTACGGAGAGGGGGAGTGGTGACGCATGCTTCCCTGACGGGTCACACTTGTCTCTTCACCTCGTCACGGACATGCTGGATACTAAAAAGTCCAGTCCCCGTTAAGAGGCTCTCCCACCTTCCACTCACATCAGGGCTTCAATGTTGTTTTGATCCAATTTGTCCCTCAGGTGGGTCGTG